TGTGAAGTAAGATAATAAATGTTAGAAAACGTATGTTTCCCTTATTGTGGAGATAAATTATTCTTGAATAATATGAAGATTGTGATGATGGAAATTTGTAACTTTGTGATGGTTGTTATTAATGTAAGTAAAGGTAGTAAATTTAAGTTTGTAATAAATTAAAATTGATTACTTTCATATACTATATATAATCAAATCAACATAATTTACAATTTATGAAAAAGAATGATTAGAATATAAAGATCAACAAATACATTATTTCTTTAAATATATACAAATATAAATGGTTGAATATATTTTTACTTAAAATATAGGAGTTATTTTCTGAACTTGTAAAAAATTGTATTTAATCAATTCTCAAAATTGTTACTTCTCAAAATTCCGACCTACTATTGAAAATGACTTGTATTATATATTTAAAAATTAATTAAGAATTTAAAAATTAATGAAGTTTCAGTAATTCTAAAGGCAATATTAATTTGACAAAATAACATTAAGTATCAAAGTTTATGACTATTTGGAAAAAATTTCCTTTGGTAATGTATTGCACTTTATTGCAATCTCATCAAAATTGAAATGTATTCTCTTTATATCATAAGTTGTTCAATTTTGGATAATTTAGGCATTGTTCTTGATTTAAAAATTTTTAATTGGACTCTCTCCTAGCTTTACTATATTTTTTTGATTTAAATTATAATAGGTTCTTAGCTATTGAAAGCTATAGCTTCAGATTCATTAAGTATTTCAGTTAAATAGAACTTCATTACTGTCATAATCTATTAATTCATAGCATTCACTTTTGAATCTATAAAATGGGAGAATTATCAACTTTGTTTTGATTTAATTCTTAAGTTTGAAATTCATAAATTCAAATTTTATTCTTCTAAAATTATCAAATGATAACCATTAGCATAATATCGATCCATCTCAATTACTCTGGTGATATCTTGTATAACTTCATCATACTTCTGAGTTTCATAATAAACATTTCTTAATATATATTGTCTGAATTATTCGATATTTTCTTTGTAAACATCCAAAAAAATCTTCTTCTTCGTAACCTACCATCATATCTTTTTTAATAATTTAAGATCGATAATTTGATCAAATTAATTCAGGTTATTTAATAATTATTTCTCAAAGAACCTATTTATGTATTATATAAAAATTATAACAATTAATTTAATTGTGAATCTTTTGAGTTATCGACTCATATAGAATGAATTATTCCTAATAATCATTTCGCCTATATTTATCAAGAAAGATCTTCACCTTGCATAAGATTTTATATTTAAATCAATGTTTAGAAGAGATGACATACTTAGATTTTATATTTTAGTAGGATAAGGCACTTATATAAATGTAAGATATTTTTAATAATAAAGTGGTATAAATTGGAATAAGTAAAATTTAAATCTCTTATAATTAATAATTTAAAATTGAAAAAAGATTAAAATTATCAATTAAGCTTAAATTCAATAAATCTATTCAATTAAATATTTAAGATTTATCAAATCAAAATTTAAATTAACTCAATTATTTAAGAAATTTTAATCACCTACAAAAAGAATTGATAAGGTTAAATTTTAGTCATTTTTTCTCTTGACCATTAAATAGATTCCAATTAATTGAGACTATTTATGGTGGTATATCTTTTTATAAAAATGGATTAAATCATTGCAAAGCCAAGCTTTCAAAATATAACTTCTATTGATTAGATTATATCCGAATGAAAAAATTCAGAATATATATGTATCTTTATTATCTAATTAGATAAGAAAACTATTTTTGTAAAGAAGCCCATAGAGGTGATTCATCTCTCTTTATATTATCCCCAAACCAAAGCAATTATCTTAGTTTCCAACCTATAATTTCAAAATATATATTTTGATCTATATTAAGCTCTAAGTGAATATTGCTTTTGTTTATGAAATAGTCGTATAGTGAAATAACAATAATATCTCATTAATCAATCCAAATAAATGGAAGCAAATTGGATCACAGAATTCTTAAAAATCATTTGATCAGAAATACTACTTATAAGCACTCTTCTCAACCATTTTTTCATTTTATGTAATTGAGTAAGAACGATACTTATACTTTGTTAAAAGAATATTTTATCATAAAAAAATTTAGTTAAAATAATTTACCTTATTCTCATGATACTTTATAGTTACTTTTATAATCCTTATCTCTCTATTTAATTTTTAACTTCTGGATTTGATTCTTTTGATAGTATATAATAATAAATTAGTTTAGCATCATCTTTCTTTAACGATAACTTCTCCAACTATTAACTATTTTTATTTATATTCATTCTCTAATATTAGGAAAAATTGAGTTACATCATGCATTAAAGACTATTATTTTTGTAAACTTGATTAGTATTGATCAGTCTAATAAATATCTATCAATCTGACCTTAATAAGATAACAGTCCTTTGGATTCATCAAATATACTAATTATTGTTTGTTTGATTAATTCATAATAATTATAGACTGAGCTATATATTAAAATATAATTCTTCATTTTCAGTCAAAAACTCATTTCTAGAATAAATAAATTTATTTCTTTAGAGCATGGCTTAAAATTACTTTTTTTATATGATGTGACGGAATAAACAAAAAATTATTCATAGGCTCACTATTTTTGATCATAATTTTCCTTATATCAAAATTATATTTATAGTTTTTTGTGAATCTAATGTTTATCCTTATACATACATACATCAGCTTTTAATTAGTAATAAACCTTTTATAAATAGCATCATCGAGCATAATTGTAAATAATCTATCCCAATAAAAAAGAATTGATATATATAATACAAACAATATATTATATATGAGAATTAAGTAAATAAATTTAATTTTGAAATCAAAATACTTTATTTTGAGATATTCGAAAAAATAGTAATTATATATAGAGTACAAAAGATGATTTAATATTTATAAGTAAGTCAAAAACTAATAATTAAATAAATTAAGTTTTTTTCTATAATAATTTCTGAAAATAATATTATTATTCTTTGATTTTTCTTTAAGAATTTTGAATTTCCTTGTTTTTCTTCAAATATATTGTATCAAATATATAATAAGATAAAGAGTTAAAATGAGATTAGTAATTCGAATTTTGATTATGGATAAATCATCTTTATAAATTCACATCGATAACATTAAAGGTATGCTTTTTGTTTAGTGTATAACAAAATAACGAATTACTTCCTTTCTGGATCTTGTGCGATAATTTCATTAGATTATGGAAATAATTAATATTTTATTGAATAAGAGTGTACAAATCTACTCTAATTCCTATCAAATACATATATATTTAATAATATGTTCGATAAATCTATTAAAAAGTGACAATCATGATTTATTAATTGGAAGAATCATAATTATAAAACTTTGCATTCTTTTTTATAAATAAATGATTAAAATTTTTTGTTTTGTTTTGTTTTCCAGTAAGATTTTTAAATATTTTAATTAAATATTGGCTTGATAAAATAATAAAAAAACAAACTCAACTTGGTGATCTAGTTTTAAAATAGCTAGTTAACAGTCTTAGCAAAGACCTTCTAGCAAATTCTCCAGGTATTATCTCTATTTTAAGACTTTTGAGTAAAGTAGTTTTTCAAAATTTATAAAAAAATACTGAGAAAAAGGAAAATTGAGGTAGAATCAAATATACTGATGAAAAGAAATATGTATATTAGCAAAAGATATAGAGCAGATTCAGTATAAACAGAAACTGAATTCATTAGGTTGAATCATGTGTTCCTTAACAAATATATATCCCAAAGAAAAATTAGAAGTTTTACAACAATAACTAATAAAAAAGTGATAAATAAAATTAGATAATGTTTAACCTCAAATAACTATATGAGAGTTAATTTTTTTAATTAGGGAAATAGAGATCTGACAGAAGGAGGAATTTGAGGATAAAGAAGTGATTTAAACTTTTAATAGTTTTTATAAGAAATTATTATAAGAATTAATTTACTCTTAAATTTTCCGTAGGCTTATTTCATTATCAATCTAATATTCAGTCAAATTATTAAACAAGGATACTTTTATAGATTTGAAAAATTATGATATCAATATGTATAAGTAATATCATAAGTTTCATATTCCTTATAAAAATTATATCGCATAAATTATGGATCCTTAATATAATTCAGGAAAAAATACAAATTTTAACTTAAAAATTTAATATATATATGAGAAGTGAATTACATTTTAAAGATTTACAAATTATTAATGAATAATTATTATTTAGCTTTCTTTATTTATTCATGTAGTTTATTAATATTTGAAATTCATGAAATCTTCGCCAGATTCTTGAAATGAAAAAAAAGATTTAGTCATTCAAAATAATGAATAAATTTGTTTATATAATTTTAGGGTGTTTAGTTTTAACTTTATTGACCTAATTTTTTTAGCTGAATTATAGAGTTTTCATGGCCAACCTATGTCTAATGAGTACAACAAAATTGTTAAAATTGAATTTTAAGTGTATAATAAATTATTAAATGAAATGCAATATATTATTATACCATGATGGAATTCGTTCAGCATCAAAAGTAATAATAAAATACTCATTAATTAAGCAATTAAATATTCCATAATCATATGAAAACATTGCTAATTGTATTAATAATGAGTATATGAAAGAGAATCCTAAAATAAGAATTTAAGAATCAAGTCACTATTATAATTGACTTTATTGGAAGGGTCACAATAAAAATTTATTTTTATCAATAGTATTCGAAAGTTATTCGAATATCA